TGTGCCAGACCGGGCTGCATTGCCTGGAAATGGCACGCAGCTCTAACACAGGCAGCGTTCCCAAGGGCTCTCTGCAGAACAATGGGCTAATATCATGCCTTAAAGGCTCATTAATCTGAAGCAACACCATACTTGTAATCATAATGCAGTTCTGCAGCTCTTTTTGACACACAGAAGAGACTACACTGAATTTTCATCAAGAAAACATTAATATACATCGAGGTGGATTTTAAGTAAGAATCTGAGAAGAAATTAATCAAGATCAGCATTCTTAATTGTTAGAACATAACTTAAGTTACTGCTTTACAAAAATACCTGATAGCACTCCCTCAACTTTTTTTGTTAAGAGAACTACATAAACTAACATAGCTGAAAAACTCCTACAATCCATACTGCCATTCGTTCTAAATTACTCCTGTACATGTATCATCACTTTACATATGGGGACTCCACAAACAAAAGCGAATTGAGAAGCCCTGACTGTGCATTATATATCCTTCACTGATGGCAGAAAAATGAATGTTAATCATCACTACTGTGCCCTTGTCCATTATTGCATTTCTTGGGAGGTGTCAATTTTTTTTTTTTTTTAATAGTATCACAATACATACAATCTTATTTTGAACTCTCCCACAAAAGCCCACAGGAAAAACTTGAAATGAACAAAAAGAAATAAAAAGCCTAAAAGAATTCAATACTAAACATTAAATAAAACTACAAACTTATTTGCTTTTAACTACTTCAGGAAAATTCAAGATAGAACAAAAAAAAAGTATAACAGTATCTTATAAAAAAGTATTAGGAAAGATTAAAAAAAGGCTCTGCAAGTGACATTTTCAGCTTCAGTAAATCTCTCCAAAGGAACAGATCTAATGAAATTGTACCCTTGTAGAAAGAGCTTGCAAAGCCCTGAACTATTTCAGATAAGATGTTCTTAGTCATTCACTACCAGCAATTATTCCTTTAACATACCTAGTTATAAGATGCACCTGACATGCCAAAGGAATGAATAATCTTTTAAGAGGGTCTGTATAAATACACAAGTATATGCAGTCTTTAAAGATGCAGATAGGTACATGTCATGTTTCAGTCCTACCATCAGGTTGCTAATTTCCCTAAAGCACTAAAGTATACATCCTGAAACACCTAATAAGCGTAAATGCTCCATATACCATTAAAATATTATACCTTATTATCCCCATCACAACATAGCATGTAAAATCACACCTTTCCTGATGATGTAACTGATTCTCTTGAGAGCACTACATCAGTGTAGTTATTCTATGCTGCTCATAATTAAAATTCTACCACAGAGTGTAGTATAAGATATTTAGCTGAAAATTTTGAATATTGAAAACCTAAACTTTCTATTCTGGAGCCTGAATGCAGATTTTTGGAATCTAAATCTTGAGAACATTGAACTATTTTCTACTGTTTGGCCTAGTATACTCCTGGAATTTCATTATGAAATAACTGTTAATGCAAGAAAACATTGATTATGGTGGGACTTAGATCAAATTAGTATATATTAATATCTTCCTTTCAGCATGTTAAAAATCTTATCATACCCCTTTAACATGCTGTTTAAGAAATGTTCCTTCAAGATCTGAAATTATTTGCTATTATATGAATTTGGAATAAATTACTCCAAATAAATCTGTGCAAAGTGAAGAAAATAAGCCATCTTTTTTTATTTTTTCTCAAAGCAATAAACTACAAACTAGCACAAACCAGGAGTGCAGTAAATAATTGTAAAGGGAAATGCAGCTCACACATTCATAAACAGAACACTGACTTCAGAGCTAGACAGGGACATCTGACTAAATATTTCCACTGAGTTTCAAAAATGCCTATTACAAATATCAATATTATTCCTATTACATAAAGAGCAACATATAGGAAATTAGATGATTCATTTACCTGGCTGTACCCCCTACTAAATTAGGATGGGTAAAGTACTTTGCAACTGATATACATTGGCATTGATTCACTTTATAGAGATTAAAAAATAACTGCTAAATTTTAGAATTTAATTTAATAACATTAAATAATATCTCTGGCTTTAAAAAGCCAGTTAAGTCACACATAAAACAAGCAGTGCAGCGGAGATCACTGCTGAAGCTCTGCCCTTTGCATTTAAAATTTTCAATCAGTCTATAACACTGCTAAATCAGTTAATAAGAAGACAAAATACTCTCCCACTAACTTGGACGACAAGAGAGCTGTTCTGATTAGAGCTTTCTGGAACACATCAGATGAAAAGAAAATTTTTATTAAAAAAACATTAAATTGTGGTATCTGGAAAAATGTGCATCAATAGGCCAAAGTTATGACAGATAATTGCCGGCCTGTTACCCCAGCCTCTCTATATGCCAGGAGGGGTTTCCTCTGAGCCTGGGTGAGTCCCAGAGCATCAGCTTTCAGGTTCCCACTTTGAATTATGCCTAGACCAACAGACATGCTTCAAATCCAGCTTGGGCAAGGTTGCCCAAGCTCTCTGGCTCACTGGCAATGTTGCCTACAAACATCTCAATTCCTAGCAGCCCAGATGCTTGTGCACATGAACTGAAAAGCTTCAGTTGGAGCAGGATCACTATTAGATCATCCAGACTCAGTCGTTCATCAGCAAGAACAGATGCTTTAAGCCTGAGGCACAGCCAAGCCAAATCGCCCACAGTTTTCATGAAGTCTGTCAAACTGTAGGGCAGCCTGAACTTCCAAACCACCAAGCAAGAACTTTCTGTTTCTGAGATGGATGTGAGGAATCTCCCCTTGGTTGCAGGTTACAGGCCTTGAGAACCAGGCAGGCCCTGCTACTAAGAGTGACGCTCACAGAAACACCAAACTGTGGCTCCAGGAGGACATGTTCCTTCAAAAAATCATGTCTGCAACATGTTTCAAAACACCTGACATTTCTGATGAACTGAAAGGCTCAGTTTGTGGCCAGATCTGGTCTTTACATGCTGCTTCCAACAAAGTACAGGCTTTCTTGTGCCCCCGTCTTGGGTACTTCTCTGAAGACTTCTCTATGGCAATCCAGAAATGCAAATCCACTCATCTACAGACTGAACTTGCTCTTCACTCCCTTGGACAGACCATGATCTTCCAGATTGGAGCTAATGTTTCTCAAAAATAAGGACTTATTGCTTATGCACAAGGTTATGAACACAACTGCACACTCCAAAAAGTCTCTGTATGAAGACAACAGATCAGGATATAGATACAACCTATTAAACTTTGGAGATGCAAGACAAACTGGTTTGTTGTGAGGACACGCAAAGAACCATGTTCATTCACTGAGCTCCTCTGCTCCCATGAACCACCTGCATCAGATTTTTTTTTCATACACATCTTCAAATTTTTTCAGTTAATAAATTGCTATACTGTACTGCTAAGGCAAACTAGCAGAAGATGATCTGCTGTGCCTAATATGCAGCTGATTAACTTCCATTAAAGTCTGTGACTCTGACAACCATGTATGAAGAAGTAGCAACAGGCCTACTAAGTATCTGGCTATGAACGAAGAATGAAATTTATTTAATATGCTAGTAAGATACAGTAGTACTTTCTCTTTCTCCTCTGGTTAAAATGAAATATAACCAGAAATCAGAAACAGATTTGGAAAATAATTAGCATTGTTATACTTTTCTACAAGCCTGAAAAATCAGTCCTATATATGCAATTCACAAACAGTGCTTCTTATATCCAAAACAAATATTTCTTTACATACAGCTACATGAATGAAGACACTATTTTAAAATTTACAGAAATAATCTATCTTATTGTAAGTATAAAAAAAAATAAATACTCCACTAAGGAATGGAAGAAAAAATAAAGCACATTTAAATAATTTCATTACATTCTAAGTTGCCAAATCATCTGTGAGTGGTTTCTTTTTAGATGAAAAGAAATCAAAATATGGGACAGATGTTGAACAAACCACATTTGAGGTCTATCACACACTGGCATTTTTCAAATTATTTTGGCTCATCTATTAAATAAGGTGTACTTTGCTTGATTTTGAGAAGGGAAACATCAGGAAATATTTAAAGGCCAATTGCTGCCAATTAACTTTGATCAGCAAAAGTTGCATTTGAATCTTTTAAATTCTTTTGCCTGTCTGAAATAACACACTATTCTAAAATCCAGCAAAACAACAACTTGATGATTAATGTGTGTTGGCAGCCCCACCACAAGCTTGCTTAACAGTTGGATTTTAAATAAACAGCTGTCTTCATTATGATGGGAAAGAAATGTGACTGTTTTCATGCTTTCGTGTTATTAAAATATGAACAGAAATTGCTTTTTTCCCTTTTAAGATGAAACAGTCAGGCATTATGGTGACAGTCTCTTTCAGCAGCTCGGATAGTTTTAGAACAATCTCACAAGTGCTGCCAAACCTACGTGGGTGAGAAAGCCCTTGGCATGCGGACACCAGCTCCTTGCTGCAGGGGACCGGCATGCACGGCGGGGAAACCCTGGCACAAAACAAATCATACCTGCTGCTGGGGAAGGCGGAGGACCTACATCCTGTTGGACCTATATGCTGGGGAAGGCGGGGGGACAGCATATACAACAGCAACAGTTTCTCATGTGGGTAAAGCAGTGCTTGCCCACAGCGGGATGTGAGAAATATGCGCTTAGCCACTAACTGTTCATAGAAGCTGAAGATTAATATTTAATGATCTGGGCAGACTGTTGAATTCTAATGTTTATAGGTGCTTTTGTTGTATCCATTTCTAAAACTTGTCTACTGTGGTCATACTAAGACCTGTGAGGACAAAACTCTACCATTTAGACTATTCTAACCTTTGAAAGTCAGTGCAGATATTTACCATAGATATTATCATATGTCCTACTGACTAAATTATATAAAAATTTTCTAAACCTTTCCACATTAAAACCAGGAAACCAAAAATAATCGTCCAACCATCTAACAACACATAAAAAGAGACAAATATTAATTCACCTCTATGTTTTTTAAAAGATTATACCCTTACTTCTAGATCATTGAAGAACAGATGCGTGTCCGCCAAATTGAAAATCATCTCTTCCATTCGGAGTCCAAGAGACACGGAAGTGGGTGGATCCTTAAAGAAATTGAGTATACCATCAATACTGTGCCTTACATACATACCAAAATACACAAACTGGAGGAACAGCTTTTCAAGAGACATTATTTTACGTATTACATGCAATATCCAGTTCTTCAGTCTCTAATCCCGTACTATAACACCAGGAACACTCAGAAGATATGACTTTAGCTCAACTGACACCATGACACTGCAGCAGCACCTCTGTGGTCACCCTTGTGCACCCCCGACGTGGGCTCCCTGCCTTCTGTGCAGAAAGAACAAGACCATTTCACTGAAAGCTTCTCCAGATTTTATGACTGTTTACAAGTTTTATGATCAGCCAGGGGAATGATAATGCTGTTGTTACTCATAATAAACTCTCACAGGTCACAAGTGAAAGGATTCAGTCCTGCGAATACCTAGTGACTTTAGAGCAAATCACCATTAATGTTTTATTTGAAAATGGCAGTTATGTTTAAAAACATGCCTTGATTCTCCACAAACCCATGCTTTAATTATATTTTCAGTCTGGCCCACCCATGCAGAGTGAACAAATCTATTGTTTGTTATTAATACATAACACACTTTAACTTCTCTACAGAAATTACCATAACAACTTATTCCTTACTGAGCTAATAAACTCAAAAAGCATGTTCAGCATTGTGGTTACCAAATGCACTACAGATGTTTGTCTTGTTTAAATTTTTTTTGTGCTTTATATATTTTCAATCTGAAAAAAATGGAAAAGAAAGCCTAACATATACATTTGATATAGAGTTTCTCATTTATAATGCCTAGTATATCCAAGTGCACAGAAGCATGAGTTTGAAAGAACATGTTATATTATCTCATGACACCCCCTATTAACAATGTTAGTTTGTTAGGAATTATATTTGAAATAGAACTGTAGAAATGACAACTCATATTTTACTTAAAATAAGTTAATATTCTAAACCTGATGACAACTCAACGTTAAAAACCAGGAGATGCAGTCCCTAGTTTCTTTTTCCACCTCTCAATCAAATTAATAGGGGTTTCAACATGTTGTCTGAACTTTCAAACATTTTTCTATAACTATTAGCTAAAAGGTAAAATATGTCAGTACTGAAGAGCTGAAAAAAAGAATGGTGATTTGGCAGCATGTTTGCCTGCTGGAAATGCCAAAACCCAAGTAAAACTAACCAGAAAGAATTTTTCAAAGAAGCATTGAGAAACAAAGCTACATAGAAGAGACAAAACATCCATTCTTGAACTCACATACATTAAGAGTAAATAAGTTTTCTAGTATCAAAAACCAGCTCTTGTAAACAGGAAAGAAAAATTGCATCATGATATTTTGATGAACTTGGCCCTTAAAAATAAGCCTTCTATTTAAACTGGCACCAGGAAAAGAATAAAAAAAATAAAAGACAAAAAAGAAAGAAAGAAAAAGAGTATTTGGCTTCTTAATTCAAATGGAAAGACTTTAAAATATGAAGAAAAATATTCCGTCTCCCTGTTTTAATATTTCTGTTTGAAGACCAATGTCATCCTTCGTTTTACTTTTGTAGGCATGTGAGGTGGAAAGCAGGTGACATTTTCTCTCTAGCTTGGCCCAAGGCTACTTTTATCTCAGATGCTCCTGCTTATTTTCATGCAGTTACTACCCCACTATGCTTCATAGCTCATCCGCCTTTTTGGTTTGATAAACCAGACAAGGATTTCTGTTGTGCCTGAGCACTAACAGAAGTCACCCCGCAGAAGAGCTCTGCTCTAGTCATTAAAAGGAGTTAGATGCAAGTGAAGATCACCTTGATTATCAACATCTTGATTATCAACTGCTAACATAACAGCGTAGAATTAAGCCCATTCTGAGCTTTCACCCATAAACAGGACGTCAATTTAAAAAGCAGACTAAATGGGCAAACAGAGCATGATATTGTTTAAGAACACATACAGTTAATTTAAATAAATGGCTGTGAATATATATTTTAAGTTTCAACATATTCATGACAAACATTTTTATTAAACTTTTTATCACACTTCTGAGTCTGAAAAAATGCCTTTTCGTAAAGATTCTTGTGGACCGCTTCACTCCAAGCTATTTTTAAATGGCAGACACTTTGGCAGAATAGGGATTTGTCCAAACTAATCCTAAAATAATGCCATTTATTAGGTTAATTTAAATAGAAGGAAAAAAAAAAAAAAAAGGAAACCCTTGGCACCTACTGAAAATGCCAGATTAAATACCATAAAAGCTAAGAAACAAAACAGGCTGCTTTTCAAAGATACTTTAATTCCTTGATTAAACACAATTTTTTTCTATAGAAGGTTCCACTGAGCATAAAAACCATGCTAAGCTGCAGCTCTGACTACCCATGTTTTTGACAGAAGCTATATCTACATTCGGGTTTTAAATATCTGCGTAGTCACAATCTTGCAACTGCTCCAGTAAAAAGCAAGAGAGTCTTAGTTGAAGGCACTGCAGTAAATTAAACTCTGATGTCAGACATTACAGTGAGGGCTGAAAACTTTTTAAAAGAAGACAAGGCTAGAATAAAGGGGGTTTAATAAAATAATGCCATACAGAACCTTCTTTTGCAATTTTAAGCCACTAATTGCAAACTAACTACTGTGAGGTGTCACACAATGAGGAGGAAAGCTAACCATCTCTCATTATTGATTGGGATTTGCAGGTTCAGTTGGAGTGTCTTTTCAGGTACGGTCAAAATCAGGTACGGTCTAAATCAGGTGCACATCTCTGAGGGAGGTACAGCTTAGCTAAAGAAAATAAATACCAATGTCAAGCTGTTAAGCAGACCTCTTGTTTTGAACACTGGTATTGGAGCCAAAATATTGTCTGTACGTCATTTCTAAATTCTACCCACTTGATTTCTTTGTTTGGTGGAGAAACAAGAAGCTGAAAAACAGGAAAGTTCACTTTGGGTACAAGGCTTATTTTCCACTTAAGCCTACAGGTCACAAATGAAAGGTTAAGTGAAACCAGGCTTTGTTTCTCTCAATCTCTAAAATATATGAAAACACATTAAAATAGCTTAAAATTTAAAGGCAAATTCCTTTAAAGCCTCTGAATATAAATGCTTTCATGGAGAATGGAAATGTACAAAAAGACTACAGTATTCTAGTGCCAATACCGAGACATATTTCTACCTGCTCCAAGATACTAAAGAAGGGCTCCAAGTTATTCTAATTTCCAAAACTTAATCAGTTGATGTCTGGCTCAAAACGTAAGTTTTGAGGTGTTTGAAACCCTAACATCAATTACATTATAACTTTATATTTGATCTATAGCTATCTCTCTGTACTTAAGAAAATTTTCAAAAGCAAATAGAAATGTTTTGCTTGTTTCTTTTTCCTCTCTTCTGCAAGGACAAATCATATTCCTATACTAGTTTCATACGTTTCCATGAAATTCATAAGATTCCAATCACCCATAAATAAAAATGTAACAGTTTATACCATGATTGTGCAAATTGAAAAACAAAAGGAATTATTTTGTTCCCACAAAGCCGAAGGACAAAAGTAAGGAAAAAGCAAACCACAAGAGGAGCAAAAGGAGAACAGGCAATAAAAACATGAGAAAGTAAGAATATACAGAAAAGAGTGGCACAAGCAAGAAATGATGAGGAATGCGGTAGAGAATAAGGAAAAGAAAATCAATCCCTTCAGCAGGGCTGCACATCATTCATAGTCATTCACCATGAAACTCACTCAGGCATTATGAAAAGGACTGAATACCAAATTGCCAAATCCTCTATTATTTAATTAGGACATTTTTGCTTGCTTGAAAATCCAGCTTTTGCATTTTAATTATGTGAACAGCTTATATTTAATTTTTTAAAAGGACATTTCTAGCCCTCACCACAGTGCAGAAACACAAGAACATGATGTTAGATAAATCAAAAAGCAGAATACAGGTAAAAAGGAAAAAAAAAAAAGCCTCAACATTTTTGGTTTTGTTTTTTTTCAGACTGACTTATGATCTGGATTTCTGGTTTCAAAGGCCAGAAATCATTAGGAATCACTCTTTGGAAAAAACATGCGCCTCTCATTGCTGCAAATAAACCCTGCAATTCTCATATGACAGATACATGTTTTAGGCATGTTTGCTTTGAACATTTGACACTACTTTCTTCTAATGTCTATGGAAATTGCTAACTGTTGCCTGAAGCTGTCAATACACCAAGAAAAATCATGATAGAATAGAACTTTAAGGAAACAAAGCAGGAACAGCACAGTTTCATGGCTGCATCCGAGAGCCAAGGACACACACATTGCCGGCCCTCACTAAAAAGATTCAATATTTATCCCAAATGTAAGCACTAATGCTGTCATCTCTCTCAACATCAATGATCAGCTGTCGCTGAGCAATGCAGGATTCTGGCACATGCAATGCAACCAGAGCCAGCCGGGCAAAAGCTGCATCTCAGGTAAACAGTGCCCACAGCGATGGAGCTGCCAGTGGAAGTCACCCACCTCCCTGCAGCACACAATTTATATCTCCTTGCAGCTGAGTACTCACACTCTCCTCAGCCTCAAGCACACAGCCAAAAAAGGTGTTTATGTTCAGGTCACAATTAATGAAACCACTATAGAGAACTAGTAACAAATTAAAAAAAATACGTTCGCACAAACACTCCTGTCACAATGACTCGTTAGGCTTTCCCAGCACTACTCTGCTGCCCAAAAGCAAGTAGTGAGATTCTGTTGGCACTGAGTTTTTTTTTTTGTAAGCAATGAGATTTGTTATCCTCATTCTGAACTGAACTATCACAGATTTAGGGATTTTGGGGTGCCATGCAAAATCTGGTTTTGGCCTGAGAAATGGATAACTTCTGGTAAATGTTTATAAAACTGCTGCCTATATGTATCCATACAATAACTGTTGAAATATTTAAAGTACTTGTGTTTTTTTACTACCTAAATATAAACTTATAACACCTAGGAAACCAAGACTGATGAATTTACTTGCTTTTCTGACACAATGGGGGAAAAAAAAAATTATATTCCTCAAACAGGGAAATCACTGTCACAGCAAACACTTCTGAAAATAAACTCCATCTGAAGAAGTAAGAAAGGCTGCAAAGCAGTACTGCTTTAGATTTTTTAATGCAAAAAGCTATAAGGAGGATGAAACATTAGCTTTCAAATACAATCCTGAAAAAAAAATTTTGATCTCAACAAGGGCATTACATTAATGAACTGTTCATATTAACCTAAGGCCACATTTATCTTCTGAAAGTTACTCATGAAACCCACAGTCTGTAGATGTATTCATCAGTTCAGTTATGATTTACAGACTGTGCATAACAGAAAGATTTGACCCATAAGCAGTCTTTCAAAAACATCAGTCAATATGTAGATTTAAAAAAGTTAAGGTAAAAAATTTCAGACTAGTCTATGTCTAAAAGCATTCCTCCTCTTGCCTTCTCAATACAGAGCACAGTCCACCACTGATCACTCAGAATTAAAATGTTATTTTGGCAGTCACTCCTGGAAGCTCCTCACGCTCTGAGGGGAGATAAACCTTTGCTAATTTTGATGATATCAACAGGTTTCAGGCACTCTGTCCCAACAAGCCAAACCTCAAGTGGTCAAAGTATTACCTTCAACACTATTTAATTATTTACTGAATATAAGAACTGAGTAAGTGCAAAGAACGGACATGTGAAAGAGCTTTATTCCTTGATATTGTATGTCTTGAAACAGAGTACTGGTTTGCCTCTAGAAAATAAACTAATGTTTGGGTCTTCCTTGCGTATCAAGCATAAAACAGTAAATATTACTGAAAATTTCCATCAGTTAGTGGACACTTACCCTTCCATATCTGTTAGCATAGGACCCTGTAAGCAAGGAATGGAAAATGATGATTGTCTCATCCAAATCCCAAATGAATACTCTCTGTAAAAAGAGAATCAAATCAATGTGTTCCTCCGTGAAGTTGATACTTGAAATGGAAAGTTAAAATTTGAATCAGTAAGGACACAAATGAGAAAATTGTATTGAAATGGTTATATATTAAAACCATAGTTTCCTTGCCATTTATTTTCAGAACTAACAAGTTTTTTTCCAGAATAGGGTAATACAATCTGCTAGCTTTTTACAAAAATTGCTATTATATCAAATTATTCTATTAGAATATAATTATAGCTAGTGTCAAATACACACAGAAAATGAGATTGTACAATGTATTATTTTAAAGCCAGATGTGAGATAGCAACTGAAATAAATTAAGAGAAGCCTCTGAAAATTAAATCTTTGGAGTTTGAGTTCTGTATTTCTCTAAGTCTAACAAAACAAAGTTCGTATAACTGCTCTTGAAAATTACCTCCAAAAGCAAATCAAAGGAAACTGCTGCAAAACATTAAAATTCCTTTAATCTATGTTCTTTTTTAATGGATTTTAGACACCTGAAGTTTGAAAATTATGAACTTTGATGCTGTACCTGTAAGAATTTATGGCATCAGTAAATAATTCTTTTGGTTAGAGCCAATGGAAAACATGTGTTTTAAATAAATCTGACCACACACAAAATGGTATTTTAATCAAAAATAAAGTGTTCATATACAAGTATTTTGAATCCTACTGAGACTGTGTTTCCCATAATGACAAATGGGCTAAACTTTTGGAAAGGAAAAGTAATGCAATGTGGACACTCATGGCTGTGGTGTGTCATTGGAGATGCGTTCTCAACATAAAGAATGGGCCACTGGGAGGAATGTGAACACAGCAGGAGAGAACAAAAGCCACTCTTGTGCCACAAGAATCTCCTGTCCAAATGCCAAACTTTAAACCTTACTTTGACTTGGGAAAAGGTTGCCTTTTTTTTTTTTTTTTTTTTTTGAACAAGGTGTTTTAGGAGAAAAATACTATCTTCTATGAAAATACTGCCAGGACAAAAAAAAAAAAAAGGGAACTACAATGCCACTTTACTTTTAATAAGTAAATATTACTTCTCTGTACAAAACAATGAGAAAAATAGTGTCTGTAACAAGTCAAAACCATCTAATATAATGTACCTCTAGATCAGAGTCAGGTGGTGGTGAAGGATTATTGTTTCTTCTGCCACGTCCACGCGATTTCCCATCTGAACTACGACGCAATCTATCTGAATCTGAATCTTTAATGGGTGTTGATGGACTGTGGATTGTACTGTATTCTGCTGTAGTAAAGAAATGACATTTTTACCTTTCAGTTTAGACTTCAAAATGTTCAACTTACTTGCTTTTTGCATGTGACACTAAAAAAAAGCAGGATGTTCACTAAAGGTTCCTAACTAAAGTAATTAAATCTACAATGTTAAGTAGCAATACCAAGAAATAATTGCAATCAAATTCAAATTATATGCAAAACCAGATAAATTATTTCAGTAAACAAATAATAAATTTTGAAAAAATCTTGATTCCTTCAAATCACACAGAAGACCATATCACTCGATAAACAAGATTAATGAGCAATTACTGAACAATTTTAAGGCATACCATCTTTTTTTAAAAAACATTGATTTAATTCTAAGTTTTCAAACATGCTTTAAGATAACTACTATGGTGACTGGTAAGAAAAAGAAACACCCAGGTGTAAAAAATGAAAAGTAACAACGCATAGAAATTGATAACTTTTCCCAAACTGTCTGATTGAAAACACTTCTAGACTGCTGCATTTAAGCCAGATAAATAGAATTCTTTCTAAATATGGCATAGAGTCCTTAATTTCCTATGGTAAGTTCAATCACTAAACTTTAAATATGCATCAACTATGAAGATGAAATTCATAGCATTCTTCAAAGTCCTACTCAACACTGAACTTCTCCAGTGAGTACCTTTATGACAGGATACAATACTCTATAAACAGTATTGTACACTAATTACCATGCATCGATGAAATTTCCTTATAAAATATTTACAGTTGCTGAACAGGTGAAAGAGAATGGTGACTTATATATGTAAAAGTTATCCTGAAGACACTCTAGCTGGAAGATATTTTGCTATTCTTAACATCCATGGACTCCATAACAGTGAAGCGCTTGGGCATGAACAAAGCAGAGACCCAGTATGAATCATCCTGCCTAACTGATTTAACTACAAGGACCGTACTCCTCAGAAATGCAACCACACATTTTAAAATTTCTTTTGAACACTTCTGTTTACAGCCTTAAGTTTTCAGAGAAAAGACTGTTATTTTGACAGTTATTGTTTTTTTTTTTTTTTTACCTAAAAAAACACCTATTTTGTGAAGGTAGCTGGAATTTTCAGTATACAATATATTTATCTATTTCACTCCTCAGTTAACATTACTCGTTAGAATTCTGTAGGTTATTTTAACTTTAACTATTTTATCCTCACATATAGGATATAAGTTTTCTTTTGAATCAGAACAGACCATGGCATTCCAGTTTGAACAGGCAGGTATCCCTGTCATACAAGTGATTCTTTCTCCTAAAAAAACCCCGACCATCCTGTTGAGGTCAAAGGTTAGATTAGGGAGGAGACTCTGGACATCTGTGTAACACTGCATATTCGCAATTACTCAAAATAATAATGGTTGCTTGTGCTGATTGGAAAGAAAAGGTCTTTAAATTCTCATACTCAGCCTTCAAATCTACACTTAATGGAAACCAGTATATATTTAACATTATGCTTTAACCCAAGTATCTCAGGCTACATTAAACAAGGCAGGAAAAAAAAGTTAAAATATAACTCAAAGCAAAACAAAAAATCCTGAAAAGAGACTCAGCCTATAAGTATTGCTGTGTATGTGCCACAGAACAAAAAAATCACCCGGCCATATCAGTTTACATACCTACAGGTTTAAATGTTAACTATCATGTACATTTCAATAATATTTTTTCCTATGACAATGTACACTTCAGAATACTTACTAAAACTATTTAAATTTTGAATGCTGATTCCTTTCACCTACTGTACTTAAATAAGATATCATAACTCTACTACTAAAATTTCCCAACCTTTTAAACTGAACTGCTATACGTTATTTTCATAAAATACTTTAAAAATGAAAGAAAAAGAAAAGAAGATAATGCACAAAAGCCTCAAAATAAATTCTAACCCAGTAAAATAAGCAGACCAGAATTCCTTCAACAAGTATATTAGCCAATGATGTTCTAAATATGTGCTCTAAAATTCAGATGCAAGTAAAATTTACAGGGAGGGACAGGACAGGACACGATGGAACTATTCCCTTTGTTGTTTGTATTTGCACGCATTTGAGGACTGTTCTCAGATGCTCTTTGTTGCTAGGTTAACCCTTGCCTGACAATCCTCTTTTCTATGTTCTGATTGTCGCTCTCTATAGTCTCTCTAAACAGGTAATCCAAAGCAAAGTTGAGCAGAGCTTTACTTCCCATATCGCACAGGCTAACCTCCCCTGGATACCGCTTGGCAGCAGACAATTTGCATTTTCTGCAATATTTTCAATAAACGTTAATCTCAGGACCTCTAGATCATCTTCTGAAAAGGAAGAGACACCTAAACAATCATTTCTCAAATACCTGGCCAAATACTGCACAAGAACTGAATATACAACACTGACAATACCCGGAGCTTCTGAGCCGACTCAGGAGACCAGTCTGTTATGAACAGCGTGACAGATAGCAGCAACCAATGGGGGAAACGTGACCTCGTGTGTAAGAAACTTATTCCACAGATGTAAAGGGAAACCATCGCATGTACTCTTTGGATTAAGGCTGCTCAAGGGGGCAGCCTCTGTGTGCATGGCTGGGTTACCAGCTCCATGTCCACTGCTTGCTCTCAGGTCCTCATAAGGAAACCCAGCTAAAGAATCCAGTATCCAGCTGAGCCCTGAGCCTCGACAAGCCCAAGCCCTGACAAATTCTGGAGCAAGAAAGAACAACAGCGGCTGAGGGTACTCAGTGTGCCACTAATATCAGGAGTACTGAAAGCAGTCCACAGGGAAAGGTAGAGCCTGGAAGGAGCTGCCAACATTCCCCATCCCACATTTGTGCAGTTCATCATTGCTGCCTAAATGTATACCTCACACCTGCTCCTATTCAGATCACATCTCCATTTTTTGAGTTCTCATCCTGTCTCCAAAGAACTTGCAGCCCCTCTCAGCATGGTGTCATCTACATATTTAATAGGCAAACACATTCTGTTCCGTCATCTCAATGATTAATGAAAATGCTGGGGCCAAGGCAGACACTAAGGAATGCTGCTGTAGCCATCCTTCTATTTTAACAGTGAGCTCTCTCTGACTTTTCTCAGGACATGGTTTCCTAAACAGATTTACATCATTCTGCTGTAGTTGCTGTTAGACTGCTTTAGCCTAGTTTGCTCATAAGATTGTTAAGTGAAAAGATTTAACTGTCAGGGCAGCAAAAGCCTTGCTGAAGTCAAGCTACATATCCACAAAACACGTTACCACTATACCCCTTATTCTACATTCATTGATAGGAGGAGGGTAGTTTGTTTAACCTCTGCTCACTTCATAGTACTAGACATAGTGTAATATTAGCCAAGGGTAATGACTGTGTTTCAAAAGCACTGAACTTAATTTTATCCTGTTCTTTAGCATCACAAACACAGGGAGCTGAAGGAGAAAACCCAGCCCTTCCATGAGTGGAAAAGGGGGTGAGGTTCAGCTCTCCACTGCCTGTCCCCATACTGAAGCAATACTGCAAGCTGGCAGCAGCCAGGTTAAACACAGGAGGAAGTTCAGATAAAATCCAGGAGATTTGTGGCATATTTTGCCAAAAAATGCCAGGCTCCAAGAAGATTACAAGGTTCCAGCAGAGCCTGAAGACATCCCTGGAAGAGAAGCATTCAAGAGTGCCTGAACCATTCTGCTTTAGCAGGTTGGGTCTGTGGGATCAAACAAGTGGTGGCAATGATCCCAAGATTCACTGGCTGTTTCTGGGAGGTCATTTCAGTGTACGTTCAGCCTGATCTAGCTTTCTCAACATCCTTAACAGGGGCTGGAAGATTTATGAGCTGTCCCCGAGGACACCTTCCAGGTTAGTTTTGTCTGAAAGGACTCCAGCTGGGTGCTCTAGGACCACTTTGCTGAGCCAAAGCTCTACATCAGAACAGACTCCTACTCCAAATTAAAATGTTAATATAGGAACACTCTAAACATACAAAACAACAGCAGCTTTGGGAATCCCCTGAGATGAAAATATCTGGAAGATGGAAAAGTGCTTCGGGCAAGTCTTACATAAGCAACAGTTATTCTTCTGCATCCATTAATGGCCACATAATTTTAGATCGCTCCACTACAGCACCTCTCTGCACTCAGCCTCAAGCAGGCATTAAATGTTACAGATTGTTTCTGTTTCACACCCTCAGAGTTCCTTCTTTCAACCCTTGACCAAGTGTAATGCACTCAATCTTGACTTCTCTAGTCAGTCAGTCAAACAATTTAAACTCAGATTCTATTAATGTGTGCCTCCTTTTCCAGGTGCAACTTGTACCCCCTGCTCCTGACCCGTCAGTAACCTCTGCAGTGTACGGTGACACCAAGCCAGACAAAAAAACCCACATAACTATGAAGAATAAAATATATTTAAGTTCTGGTTTACCTAAAATACAGGAACCATACTGTTGCAGACATTCCCCTATGCTTCAAAGCACTGTATTATTGCAACTTGACTTGATATTTCATAAGCGTATACTTCCTTGCTACACATCATCATGAGCAGTTTTGATGGTTTTGTCACACAGGAAGATCTTCCATCATCTCATAAATAAGAATACTTTGATTAGTTATGAACAGAGAATACAGCCACAGAGATACCATTTGTGACACCATACTCTCTAATTCCTGTTTGTTTTGGAAATCCTCCCTAAGTAATCACTGTATTTTCTTATTATTGATTTCAATGTACTATACAGCAAGAGACAACTGACAAATCTGTGGAAAACAAGCTATCTCAGAAATCCCCAAATTAAGTTTATCTCTAGGTAAATCCAACCACTGAGTGTGTGGGTTGAGCTCTTGCTGTTGACAAAGGCATTGCAAATTTCATCAGACTTTTTCCCTACTACACTGAAAGGGTATGCAAAAACAATAAACACATATTATCAAAGTAATCATATCTCATGTCACAATGTAAATCACAAGGATGAGATGGGTCTAGCATAGCTAGTATAGTCAAATGTCTCTGCAAGTAGGTATGCGCAAATATTTTCCATTTAGATTGTGTCCAAATTAATGGTTGCCCTCAGATCTTATGCTTAATCTTGACTAAAGACCTTAAACCCTCAGGCCAGTTTTATTTCAACTCCTGTATACAAAATACAAAACAAAACAAAAAACCACACAATTAAAAACAAACAAAAAAACCCAACAAAAAACCCGAACTGAAAAAAAAACACCAAAACAGATACAGATAATTTGAATACATCAGTTTCATGCTATGATTTTCTTACTTTGGCATAAATAAAGCTAAACACAAAATAATTTCATGAGCACTATACAAACTTCTTCCTTTCCTGCTTACATAAAACTGAACCAGGATTAAACAGTGCAGCAGAAACACATAGGTATTTGAGGTCTGATGGTTTTTGAACTTCTGTATTAAGAACAGGACTATTACACTAGTAGTAAGTAAAAGCACTAAATAAGTATTGCAAGAAATACAATAATGCCTGCTGACAGAACCACAGGAGGGCTTCTTTAATGCTGTTGTGACAAAATGTCAAAATCTTCACCTAAAAAACATATGTGATATTTGTCTGGTGAGGACTATGAGCATGCTAGTACAATGGCAGAAACTTTCCGCATCCGCAACACCCTGCAGCAAGGAGCTGCACAGCTCACCTATATGCAACATAAGGAATACTTCCTTTGGTTTGCTCTGAACCTACTTTCAAATTGAGTATTGGAAGGGAGAGCGCTCACTAACTTACTTTTATTATTTTTTATCACTTTAATTATTGTTACTTCTCTTACATGCTACAGTTCACATGAAAAATCAGCAACTTGCTAGTCATACCTCAGATAATCTGCTCATGTGTGAATTGAAAGCTCATCCCAGAAGGAACCTAATATTCTGTTGTTACTCTGATGAAAAACATTTTGTTCTGTAAAGCAAAAGTTAGAATTCTACAACTGGAAAAAAAAAAAACAAAACAAAACACTTTTGAAAGGTCTTACTTTTGAACTGAAACAAAATTTCCAATTAAATTTGAAGCAAAGCACACATTTAAAATTTGAAATGTCGTACTGAAATGTATTGTTTATTTTAATAATTTTCTGATTATGTCACTGCAAAAATACAGCCTTCTCTTCACAAGAAAATAAAATTTGTGTGCCTGATTTATGGAGGCAGGGACTATCAGCCTTTGTGCAATCAAAAGGTTTTTTGTGACTGAGGTTCAAGAATTTTGTCAGATCCACAAAGAGAACAGAAAGAAGCAGCACTGAGCATTGAAAATCTCAGGTTCTTCTGCAAGAACCCCGAGACATCCTGGATTGAATGGCAAAAATTTGCATATTTTACTAGGAACTGTGGGAAACCATAAAAGGATTTTATATTTGGACAAGGAATTAAACACATTTTTAGTGAAATTATCTGAGCTTTCTGAGTCCACAAAAGTCTACTAAAAATGTCACAAGAGCACATAATTACTTCCTCTCCTTTCACGTTTCTTACCAGACTCTCCTGTTTCATTTACTGGCCCGAATTCATAGGAACCACCTATGTCTGTCAAATTATCCCGGTGCCTCTGTAAAGTCTGAAGGCTGCTCTGTGCTTGCCCTGCCATAGTTCAGACCACACAGATTACATGGGGTTTTTAAGTGTAGAAGATGTCTAAGGATCTCAACACCCAGCAAAGGCAGCTGCAATTCCACATCTGGAGCCTATCCTACTAAAGGGGTACAGCAGCCTAACCTGACAGCCCTGCCCTGCTCCCCACCATCCCTCATATGCAGTGTTCCAGCTGTGGTAGAGAATCAGCAGCACAACTTCACCAGATGTGGCAAAACATCCTACAGAAATTTGACTAATTGTAGTTAAAATTTGGTTAGTTTACTCCTTTGTTCTGTGTTTTTGACCCAACTGGGAATTTCCTTCTCTCTAATATCCTTGTCACTTGTCCTCACTCCATCAGAATTCCTTTCCTCCATGCTGATCCCTCTTTTCTTTGACCCCAGCCTTGCTTTGTCTTCCAAGCATACTGTATATGACCTCAGCCAACACCTTGCAAGAAGCCTCAGCTAGAAGAAAGTAAAAAAGTAAGAAAGCCCACCAAGTTCTTTCAAACTTGTAGACAAAACTTTCTTAACAACAATGTGGAATATCTGACGGAGAAAACAGAGGCTTCATAAAAAGAAACTGATAGAAAAGTTCTGTCCAGGCTTACAGGGCACAGAAAACTATTCAAACAGGAAGACAGCCTTTAGGCCACTAAGTTTGAGCTTGGGAAAAATATACCTCCTCTCTCCATATATGTCTTTATTGTTGCTTTTAGGAAGTATCAACTAATTTAAAAAATATATGCAAAGATTTTGCAAAAGTTCAAGACCCAGAAGATACAATTTAATTTTAATAAAAGCTAAAACTTGATAAATTTTCTTTCAAATTAAAAAGAAAACAAACTCACAAGAAAACAAAACAAAAAAATTAAAAACAAAGTGAAAAGCGGAGTGATTACGCAGACTCCGTATGCCTCCGTATATAGGCATTCATATATTCTATAAGCTGCAGATTCCAATATCCATTCATATATTTAGAAAGATTCCTTTCTCAAACACACTGAGCACACACATGATCTCATGTATATACACATACATACTAACTACATTTTCTTACCTACTTACTTTCAGCAAATATATCAAAAGAGACAACACTTTATACATTTTCTTTATGTACACACTCATGCAGAAAAGCAACAGAGTTCTAGCAAATTACATTAAAGCTCACGCTGCACATCCAATGTCAGTCTTAACAAGTACTTCAAGAAAATAAAAAATAACCTCCCCCAACAAGACTCTAAAACAAAACCTCCTGGATAATGTTGCCAAATCTTCTTACCACACTACCAAGAAGTGCATTTGCAACCTTGGACTTCCTCTCAGATAGATCTCAAACTTCTGCCATTTAACTACTGACATGCTTGAACGGGTAAAAATTTATTTTTTCTTTTTTAATAATACACAAAGTATTTCTCACCCCTCATTTCCAAAAACAGCTGGAGGAATTTGGCCTAAATATTAAAAAAAAATATCTTAGCTAGCAGAGGACTGCCAAATTCCAGCAAGAAAGGTAAAATGACTGGGGAAAAAAAACCAAGCCACTGAAAATCTTTTCTTAAAATGGAAACACTTGTGCAGTTTCCACTCCCCATTACAAGCATTATTAAGTGCTCCCAAAGTGAAAACACAAAAGCTCTCTTTCAAGTGGACAGTTAGTCTACGGTCTGAAGGCCTCTTGATTTCAGTCTTAGGAAAAATCAAAAGAGCTTATCTTAATGAAGACAGAGCTTAAAATCATCAGGTTTTGGTTTAAAGACTTTCCTATAACCTGCAATTTTTAACACAAGCATTTTACAAGTAGAAACCAACTTGTATTTTACACAAGATTTAAAACTTTTACTGGTCGTGGTTTTTCTTTACCCTTTTTTCTGTTAGAATCTGTGTAATAAGTGCCACAGGCTCAGGATTAAGAAACTGTAAAAAACCCAAATCAACAACTACACACACACACACGCGAAAAAAATCCAATTCAATCCTCTTTCAACATAAAAAAATGTGCCTCATAGGGACTATAAAATCCATGTAATTACCTGCAGCAGGATCTGTAGCTGCTTGACTGGTGATGCCAGATGGTGGTTCTTGGAGCTGGTAAGTTGCATTTGTGGAGGGTGTTGTTGGGCTGGTGTTGCTGTTTGTCATGTAGTGTGAAGGGTATGGTGAGCTGTTGTAATACTGTGCATATTGGCTCTGGCCAAAACTGGGATAAGAGGGATATTCCTGCAAGACGAACAAACAAACAAAATCATCATCTGAATAGTCCACCAAAGTCTTGCTACTTTTTAGCACAAATTCCAAAATATAAATGCAAACGCATGTGAGAATTTCATCAAGTATGCTTCCTGGACTGGATGCTGTAGGACCTAAAACTGTGAGGTAATAAAATGAAATCTAAATTACACATAATTTAGTATGTCTTCTCGTACAAATAGTTTTAGACACACTGCTGAAGTTGTGTGAATAACAACATCAACACCAGACAATTAGTTCTACTATTGGAAGAGAACAAATCAAAGAAAAACATTTATAAACATTAGCTTAACTTGAAAGGATGCTAATTTCTTTCAAAAAGCTACACTTTTTCAGTGGATGAGAATTCCATTTGCCAAAGTTTCCTCAACTCATATATACAAATTTACCTGCTGTGAACTATTAAATCCAGTAGAATTTGTGAGTGAATTATTTCCTGCATATATTCCTGATGATGTTGTAAAACTGCTGCCTGAAATGAAATGAAAAATTACTTGAATTACTAAAAAACAGTATCAGAAAATAACTTCCATCATGGGATTATATCATAAGGATATGGCCTGTTTGTAATATTTCCCATATGTTGACCGATTTGGTTGTCATCAGCTTTATAACATTTTAATACATGGAAAGTGATAATTTATCCTTCCTACACCCTGTGTTTCCTTATTGCAATAAAAAGAAAAAAACTGAAATTTAGGCAAGCATTGGGACCATCCTCAGATCTGATTTAAGTTAGGCTATCCTACCCCTCTGAATGACACCCAGCATCATGGAAGTAATGAAGGTTTCTTAACTTTCAGTTTTTATTAAACGAAAACATTGAGTTTTGTCCCAACAGATTCTGTCTCCCCTCACTGAAGCCCACTGGCTCCACTTCTCCTACCACCTTTGAGAAGTGGGTCCTCTCCCCTCCTTGAGCCTCAGCACCTCGCAGGAACAGCGCAAGCCATAACTCCCTGCTCCAAACAGCTCGGTCTGACTGCAAAGCCATTAGGATTCATTAATCGATCTCAGACAGCCTTGGGCGGCAAAGCTTTTTCTTTTGATAGAGTCTCCCGGGCATGACACAAGGGAAAAAAGCACCTCTCTGAGAATAGAGACCATTCTAAGAATGAATTTAGCCCAGAGACTGAATTACTGCCTTCACCACCCTCCTCCCCACTTCACGAGCCACCAAATAGAGACAGATGGGGCCCTTGTTTAATACCTAACCTGAGAAGCTGTTCCACTAAAAGGGCAGCAACCCCCTTTCAGCTGTTTTGCCCTCACTGGTTATAACCCGGGAGTGACACAGACACCAGCTGAGACATATGGATGCACCGGGTGAAGCTACACAAGCCACCGTAACGTCTGTAATGAGGCAACCTATTGAACTCGTCCAGCGGGAGAGCCCCAGCCAGCAAGGAGATCGCATGAAAGCTGCTGGGATGTTTACAGCCTCTCTCACCACTGAAACCTGCCCTAGTGCCAAGAGACACGGGGACCTTTGGAGCAAAAGCTTGCAGGTGAGCGAAGAAGGCAAGGAGGGATGGAGACCAGCAGGGAGCCAGGCATGCAGACACACCGACGCTCTGATGTACCTGACAACTCAGCTAACAACCAAACCCTGTGCAGCATTACTCATTGGGAAAAATGACATGGCTTGCAGCTCCAAACGGCGATAAACACAGGCAGGGCTGCACACTCACTACAACCCCTGAAGGGCATTTGTGAGCTATTCTCTTTTCTAAGTGACAAAACCCCAAACCCTATTGGTACCCCAGCTATAAATGAGAAGGAAAAATATGAAAATGCTTTGATTGCAAAAGTTCCTAAACACACACGTGAGCCAAGCCTCAAAGTAGATGTGAAGTATGTCCAACAGCAGTGGGAGTAAAAGATGAAGTTTAAATTTAACGTGTGATAATGACTGTAAATGCTTCTCTTGTATCTGCTGTTAGCACAAGAGCTCTGCGGTTGTTGATAGAAGCTACTAATCCTGTGAACTAAAATCAGATTACTTCAGCAGAAGAGTTTAGATCCAAGTTTAGCAGATAGTACAGATAAACAGTACTAATGAGAAAAACATGTTGTTTTAAATTTAATTTAAAATTGAAAAACAGATGTTACTTTTTATTATAACAAACCCCAGAGCCAAAATACAGCTGAAAAATATTTTAAATCTCAAACCTTTTAAATGCTATTTTATTTCTAAGAGTGCTTTGGCTGGAAGAATGTAAGTCACTCTGTCTCTATTTCTGTAGTTATTTCTGAGTGATGCAGTGATGCATTCAAACACAAGTTTTAGAGGTGCATGGTTTGAACCATTCTGAAAAGGTGTAAAAGATCTCTCATAAGAAGGGAAAAAAAACCAAACCAAAACAAAACAACAAAAAACACCAAATACAAAACCCCTCATTTTTTTTGATGAATATGTTATCTTTCTACAGAAAGTTTAGCAAATAATTTGCAAGAGCGAATGAGAAAAGTAATTATGTGGCAGCCAGTATTCCTCCTATCAAAGACACACACACTTCCACACAGACCTCTCTCTTTCATCTCATGGTCAGCACTGGCCCCAATGGAGGAGGGGTAGGGGTCTCCTAGACCGTAACAAACACGAAGCAGGTTTCTCAGAAATGGCTCTGTGGGCCACCCAGAACTACTGGCCAACAGTTATTTTTAAAATACTCCTATTTTGCCATTTGTTTTTTAAATAATTGGCAGCAGCATGGCATAGAGCTCCTATTCCTACCTTAGCTGAACAAACACAAAAATAAGAAACTCCATTAGACATGAGAGATTTACTGCCCCAAGCTGGCCAGCTACGTAGGTTTAAAATGTGATAAAAGCTGTAAATTGCGGGTCAAAGGTCTATTTTGCAAAGAGCATGGATCCACATTAAAGCTGGGAACCCCAGGCAGCATTGGAAGAAGGCTGGACCCCGCTGGGAGCAGGGCACGGGGTTCGTCCCTGTGCTGCTGCGAGGCACAGGATACGGGTCCTCCCCAGTCCGTTTGCTTTCTTAGCTCAGCCTCCTCACCATGGGCTACGTCTATCATCAGGGTACAATGTCTGTGGCAGAAGTTTAGCATAGCTCTCATGGGAAAGCCCAAGATGGCCAGATGGGCTATTTAAACTCAAGGTTTCTTCCGTTTGCTTACAGTGTTTAAAAATCCTTGGCAAACTCCCCCTTGTCGTCTTAGTAACTGCTTAGCAATCCAGCACAATATTTTTATACTGTATAATAATAACTGGATACCTTAACGTTTACTTTTTTTATGGATGAATTCCTAGACCAGTTGGTTAGTGTATTCTCAAACATCACCGCCTTGGTAACTAAAATAACACTGGTGCTCATCACAGGTCTAGCACCCTTCCAGTGGTAGAACACCTGGGATACTCAGGAAGACAGTTGCAAATGGAGCTCTTTCCTTGGCGTTTCCCCCAGCCCTTCTCCACTCCATTTATCCTCACTGAGCAATCCTTCTAACTCTGCCAATATAGGAACAACAGCCCTTTCCCAAAGCTATTAGTCATATAAGTGGTCTTTCAACATCTATGAAGCAACGTATATGAAAAACAGCTTAAGGAACATACTCATGAAAGTAAGGGGGCAGTGAGTGGGAACACAGGGCAGCAAGAACTGCCAGGGTCCTCTTCCCACCTTCTCCCCTCTGCACCTCCCTTTAGAGGGATGATAAATTTGTAACAAACAAAAAATCCAGTTACCGGAATAACCCTAGCAAAGAGTCACAGACAGCGATTTTCCTCATCGTTTTCAAAAGTTGGCAGTCTATCCCTCCACTATTGTTCAGCGACTAATCACGCTGTAATTTTAGCAGGGTCAGGAAAAGCACTGGGTTTAATTGGCCCCACACGCACGGTGAGGCAGCACCTTCACGTTACGGGGAGACATTCACCTCGAGGAGGGGAACCAGAATAACTCCAAAGCTTTTAAGCGTCAGGTAACGCCAACCAGGGAGCATGAGCACAGCAACTGCAAGGCTGCTAGGAAATCCCCTTTACTGCAGGCAGGACTGTGTCAGGCAGGGCCCAATGCACACTGTCGTGTAACGCTTGGTTGTGCAGTAGGTTTTGGGATCCATTATCTCCATTTAGCCACTCAGCAGCCGCACGCAGATGAAGAATGGCTATTGCAAGCTGTGACAAAGCTGAGGCTGCAGCCTGTCCATACATTGCTAGAGGGGAAAGGGAGAATAAATTAATTTCCCTCTCTGGAGGTTTCTCCACAAACAACTGACCAGCAGCAGCATTACTCCCCTCTTCTGTCAGGAGAATCAATTTTGCCCTTAAACAATAGTTGAAACAATGAATGGGTTCCCCTTCCAAAATTAAACGAGGAAGGAGAAACAAATGTTTCTGTTTACTTTTAACATCTGTTCAATCAAAAGGAAGAATTTAGGCAATTTAAAAGGTGTTTCAAGTTCAAAAGTTAGCCAAATGAAAACATAAAAAAAAGATATATTCTCATATATAGTGTAGATATATACTGCCAGCATTTAACTGCAAGAAAGACCTATTCAGCAATGTGATTGTTTCCTATTTAGCTTCTAACTTCACCAATATTTTAATTTGAAATGTTCAGTTTATATCTATTCTTATGTTTATTCTTACGCAAGGTTTCTGTAGGAGACCAGTCTTTCCCACATCCACATGCTGTGCCGCTCACAAGCACAACAGAAATGACATATGCACCGCAGGGGCTCCCAGGCTCTCCCACTCTGGCCTGTGGCTCTTCTGCCCAAGCCAGGCCTTCAGCAGTCTGCTGCCTTCCACAGGTAGGCAGCTCACAGCCCAAGCACAGCACAGCTGGGGCAGAACCCAGCCTCAGATCTGGGTGAAAATCAGTGCCTCTGAGCCTCCTCCCATTAGAGCTTCACAACTGGGTCATCTTTAACACACTCCTTTTGCAGAATATTTTTAGATCCCTGCCTTTCGATATGTACAGCTGAAATGCTTTCCAAGATCTTACTGTTCCATCTCTTGACAACCACCACCCTTTCATGACCTTGACAATTCTGATCCTACACACATTTTGCATATTGCTGAAAACAAGGCAACACCCTTCGAGACAAACCTCAACATAGGCCACTGAGTGCTAGCTTTGCTCTACTAATGCCAGAATTCACTGCTTACTCTCCAGATTTTCCAACAAGCCAATTTTCCAGTTCTCTCATGTTATCCCATGCCGCTCCCCCTTTCCTCCCTCCATCAGATGAGTTTCCCATATACATCTGCAATACTACTTCATTGTCCTCCCTAAAATCCCTTTTTATTGACATCACTCTGCTCTGTATCTTACACAGACACCCCTTTAGAGCTGACAGATAACCCATAATGGGTGATGACTGTTTATTATGCCTAAACAGCATCAGTTTTACTGTTATATTAGGCCTTCCTAGCCTGTGTGTTTTAATTTAGCCTCCAACTTCTACAGGGACTATGTTTTCATTTGGTTGTATAAATTAGCACAACAGGATCCCAATACATGACTGTGGCACAAAGTCACTACTGCAATAGAAATTATAGGCAACACACATTATTTTGCAAGAACTCTATTTCCTAGAGACCATGTATTATCAGTTTCTTAAAAGCTGGAATGTCAATCCAGGAGTTCTTCATAGCTGCTGCTGGTAAGCATTTTGAACTCTCTCTACAGATAGGGAGGATTTTTTTTTTTTTCAGAGTGGGATAGTATGGCTACCTACAGAAAACAAAAGCAAACTTGGTTATGGTTATATTTACTCTGACAAGTAGAAGACCACTGCTGATCAGCATTTAGATGAAAGTTTACATACTGCTCTTATACTATCTTCCTCTTACTTGTCAGAGCATGCTAGCACCAAGGAATACTTCAGACATCAGATGGCTGCAGTTCAGAAGGGGATTGCACAAAGAAACCCCAAAACAAAACACCAACCACAAAAACAAAAACCACAACCCACCACACCAAAACAAAGCCCTACCTCTCATGTCTGACTGAAGCACTGGATCAATATACAATATCTAAAGCCATGGAACAAACGCAAAATCTCATTCACTTGGTCTCTGAAAGCACTTTTGCCTCCAGACATTTCATGGAGTGTTTACATGATGGCATACAGTTTAAATGGAGCATGACAATAAAAAAGAGAGGTGCTAAACTTTAAAAAATGTGGGCCAGTTCTGTGAGTGACCACTTATTTTAACAATTCTAAAATCTGCACCACACCTGATTTCAACTGTCAAATTCAGAGGTGTAAAGCCCTGCAGCAGCATCTAAAATTAGTTATCTGTAGTAAACAAAGATATTTTTAAATAGCCTTTAAAGTGGTGAAAATCCAGAACCAGGCACACTCAGCAACTTCCTGATACAGAAGGGGAAAAAAGGAGCTGGGGAACAAGGTGGAAAGATATTAAGTAAACTAGACAGGCAAGTAAGGCTACAAAATATAACTGATAATAATAGCCCACACATACACAGGCTTACAGCTTTTAAATAGACTTCAAAGAAACAGACTTCAGTCATTGCTTAGCTACCTCCACAGCTGCAGTAGGTATTTTTATCTGCTTTTCCCTCCCCGAACACACTCAGGTATCAAATTATGTTTGGCACTTCCTAAATTCATAATCCTGACACGTTTTCCAGGACTTGCTTTGTCACACTCACTATTTGTTAAATGGTGCCATTCGGCGATACATTTTTACTGTAATAACACTACAACACTTCACTATTTAAAAATTAATGAAGTCACTAACTGAGGGATCTTCCAAACTGCTGAGAGCTGGCCTGTTGCTGCTCTCAGCAAAGGCAATCATCATTTCAGCTCCAACTGCAATAATTTCAGAGGTAAGAGCTCGAGCAAACTTTCTTTTTATCCTAGGAATGTAAAGCAATGAAGGGGAAAAAAGACCCCACAGCATTAATTGTATCTAAATAATGGTAATAACTATTTATACAGACCTTGCATCTGGTAGCTATAGGGAGCCTGTCCAGGTTGAGGTGTGCTAAAGCTGGCACCGTAGCTTAGAAATCCTGTCTGTCCAGGTGACTGTGACTGTGCCAATCCACCTTCTGTCTTGATGCCTGCCCACAATGCACCTAAATCAGTTAGTGACAGCAAATCTATTTGTTCATATTCAAACAGGGATGGAAAATAAAATCACTTAATTAACAGCATTTTTAACATGTACCTACTATTGCATGCACGAGTGAACAAATATCGAGAGCGTGCATAAATGAACAGGGTAAGGGCAGTCTAAAAGCACGCATAAAACCAAAGTTCACCAGGGAGAGATTAAATTCAAAACTGTGTTTCCAATAATGGCAAAAGAAATTTATAAATGAACAGGAAGTTGCATTATTCTTTTTTTCCTTTCCTGCCAGAGGCTAACTTTTCCATATATTCATGACATTTCACTGAGGCAGATTAGCAACTTTATACGACCTTAATGAAGCATAGTATAGCCAAGCTCTCCTGCCATCCACCCATTAATGACATAACTGAGATTTGCATCGTATAATATTCCTACATGGAAAATTACATAGCTCTGAGTGTACTGGCTTTCTAAGGAATTAGAAGGTGGATAAAGAGACCTAGGAGCACTAACGGTAATGATGATTTTCAAAGCTAATCAAACACTATAGGAGGTAGTCTTTTAACAAATAAACACCTAAAAGACAGGAGCTGCTCCAGAAGCAATCACCCAAACTGGGAAAAACGTAGCAGAGGGTCATTAATCTACACTGACAGGGAAATCCATTACACATCACATTAGCCTCTTATTTCCACATTCAGCAATAAAAGAATTCAAAGTCTAATTAAATTAATTACTTGCCTCCCAACTTCAGTGATTCTTTTTCCAATTTGTAAGGCAACAAGCACATAAATATCAACAATTGAAACAGCAAGAAAACACACACAATTTAGCCTCTGTCTCTTAGTTTTAATTATAAGGTTGTCCCAACATGAACTACCATTTAAAAATAATTACAGCCAAAGCAATGGAAAAGGGATACAACACTCTTATGTTTCACTGTGGCATTCAGTGATACTTCATTGTTCAGAAACCACCATTATTTGAACTGAATTCACTAAGTGTGAATTAGTAACATTCCTCTGAAAATGACTGTTTATCTAAGTCCAATTCCTGGCTGGAGGTATTTTTTTAAAAAAAAAACCAACATTCAACAACATTTGAAGGTCAGAGGGCTGAGACATTATCGTGTTTGCAGAATTTACAACATCTACTTATATACAAATGGCAGCAGATTTTCTTCTAACATTTAAATAATTACTTTTCAACTGCTGTCTTTAATTACCCTTAACTCCTTCTGCCAGACCCACTAACCACCAGACTAACTGCTTGTTTTCCCCTGATGCTTACTTGCTTCTTTTTCACTTTACAACTAAACCATCCCAATGACAAATCTGCCACCTTGTTTCCAAGGGGAAACTCCTGCAGTGGATGTTTTGCTATCAGCAATCCCTATTTGCTAAGGACTTTCTGAAATGCTGACTGAATATTGCTTAGAGACAGTTTAACTAAACCAAGCATTATGTTTCTAGACTGGCTTTAACAACCCAGTTCAACTCTCCACCTCAGACAAAGCGAGAGGAGATGATCAAAGGCAGCAGCAGAAGGATGCAATTTGAGTGAAGACAACTTGGCACCTACATGCCCTTTTGCAAATCTCCACGCTATGGAGAGCCTTTCATCTCCTGGGACTTACTCTTCCCACCTGCTCTCATCCAGAATGCTTTCACTTGTCAAACCTTGATGCTCCCAAGTCTAATGTATGCAAGGAAGTGGAAAAGCACAGTAAGAAAACAGAAGGGGACTGCCAGGGTCTGGAAGGAGATGATGTTGGTAAGAAAAGCCTTTGCTGATGCTGATAGCAGGGCAGGCAGGAGGAAGGAGCTTCAGGAAATTCTCTGTCCTCCTCAGGGGCTTTGCAGATGATCCAGAGCCAGGAGTCCTGGGGAGCAGCTGTCAGTGGCATTGCCCTCCACCCCCATTCCTGCCTGCCCAGCCGCAGCATGTTGGAGCTGGAAGGGTGGAACACGAAGAGGCCAGAGGTGTATTTGAGACAGAACCTGTTTAAAATCTGCCCTAGAGAGAAAACTTAAGGGAGGCTGATATGGGAATTCACAAATACTTTTTTCCAGAGTAAAGAAACAAAAAGAAAGAAGTCCCCCACTCCAACTCAGAGTTTTTCCTTTCACATATGTCACAAGTCTCTTCTTTATACCAGCTGGAAGCTCCCTACCTGGGTGGGGGAAAGGCAAGGCAGACAGTACATGGGGTCTAAGCTGCAGACTAAAGGAGAAATTCGGCTCTAAATAAGGCTTCAAGTCTTGCCTGTTGCAAATGAACGTCCCAGTGTTCCCCATATAACTTATTTCAGGAGCACAGATTGTATGATGTGCCTTAAACATGCAAAAATATATACAGTTCTACATCCCAAAACTTTTAAACAGTTACTTGTTTTTAAATATTACTCCTATAAAGCACATCACCCAGGAGCACCTCAGCTCCAGTAATAAGGCACTGTTCAAAAAGAACAAAATGCATTACAATCTACTTGGCTGGGTGGTCAAAAGCAGCTCTGCAGTGTGAAATGGTAGGCAAAATTAACTCAAGTCCTAGGCACAGAGGATGGATTGGGCAAAACAAAACACAGGAGCAGGCAGGCATGTTAACCCCCCATGAGCAGTTGCCAAGTAAAGCAACTCTCAATTATAGCTTCAATGACAGTGAGACAGCTAAACTCAAGCAGTGAAATCAAGGCCTCGCTGAAGTCAGTGGGAGTTTTACAGTTGCCTTCACTGACTCCAGGATTTCATCCAGAGGAACGAAGCAAAAAAACAAAAAAGTCACTGTCTGGACTGCCCAACCCACCAGAGACAGCCAATTAAGAACACAAGGTGTCTGCAGGAGAAAT